GATGTTTTCTCTCACTGTGTTGTTTTCTAAAGCTTCACCAAGACCTTCTGCACCTTTATCTCCAATTTGATTTCCTGCGACGTAGAAATGTGTGAGTGTCTGTGTGTCATAAGAAAGATGAAGATAAAACAAGTGCAGAGAGTGATGTTTTCTGTCACTGTGTTGTTTTGTAAGGCTTCACCAAGAGCTTCTGCACCTTTATCTCCGATTTGATTGCTGCTGAGGTCGATTTCTATGAGTTTCTGTATGAAATACAAAAAGATGAAGATGAGAGAAGTGTAGAGAGTGATGTTTTCTCTCACTGTGTTGCTTTGTAAGGCTTTACCAACAGCTTGTGCACCTTTATCTCCGAGTTGATTGTTGCCGAGGTAGAGTCGTATGAGTGTCTGTATCAGATAAGAAAGATAGAGATGGGACAAATCTAGATTCGTCTTTTCTCTCACTGCGTTGTTTTGTAGTGCTTGACCAAGAGCTTGTGCACCTTTATCTCTGATTTGATTTGCTTGAAGATTGAGTCCTGTGACCGTCTGCATGAGATAAGAAAGGTGAAGATGAGAGATGTACAGAGAGTGACGTTTTCTCTCACTGTGTTATTGTGTAAGACTTTACCAAGAGCTTCTGCACCATTATCTCCGATTTGATTGTTGGAGAGGTAGAGGTGTGTAAGTGTCTGTATGAAATTAGACAGATGAAGTCGAGGGAAGCATAGAGAATGATGTTTTCTCTCACTGTGTTCTTTTGTAACGCTTGACCAAGAGCTTCTGCACCTTTATCTCCGATTTGATTTTTGTAGAGGTAGAGTTCTGTGAGTGTCTGTATGAAATTAGACAGATGAAGTCGAGAGAAGTGTAGTCAGTGATGTTTTCTCTCACTGTGTTGCTTTGTAAGGCTTTACCAAGAGCTTGTGCACCTTTATCTCCGATTTGATTTCCTGCGAGGTTGAGTTCTGTGAGTGTCTGTATCAAATAAGAAAGATGAAGATGAGACAAATGTAGAAAGTGGTGTTTTCTCTCACTGTGTTCTTTCTTCTGCGGCAGAAAAAAAGCGTTTCGTGTTTCCTTAGAGTAGTGAAAATCTTTTTTTGTTATTAATCTCAAGCAGAGGTGGTAACGGATTGGAGAAGAATTTTTTACATGAACGGCATATTTAACGAACAGTAAAATACTTATTTCGTTCGTTATGTACTGTTTTTCTAAAGGTCGATACTAGCGGTTTCCTATGGAGGATTTCAGTATTACATTTCTCAGATTGATAGATTATTTAGATTTAGATTTCTATGTTTAGCCGCATGATTAGTTTTGATAGCTGGGACGCTCAATCGTTGAGAAAGTGATCTGATAACAGAAAACAACTTTGCAATAATGATTACTGTATTTCTTGTTCATTTAATAATAATAATAAGATGATGAATTCACTGAACTTATAGATACACATATCTACAAAGATAAACAATACTGAACAGTTCTATATGATGAGTGAAAGACTAAAGAAATATTTTGTTTCAAGAGATTCCGTTATTTTATTGTTTGCAACCGGTTATGTAAAAATCAACACAACAGAAGCTGAGAAATAATTAGTTAACATCGTTGAGACAATAAGAAAGAAAATATTTTTCATTCTCAACTTTAACGTTTGTTATTAAAACATCATTTAATGACTGACCAAGAAAATACACAAAGAAATCAATTTGAACAAGTGATTCTTAGTATAAGCGAAGGAAAAGAAAGACAAGTTGTTTGATCGATAGTTTCTAAAAGATTTTATAATGTCGATAGAAGACAAAATGATTTTTCTATAGGATAAAACAGAATGTTTATCTGAATGTGTAGAATCAAGTTTCTCATTCATTAATAGACTTCTGATGAAAATATGTATTTTTTCAAGCAAAGATGAGCTCTTAATAAAGAGATCACACAATTTTTGCGAACAAAGTAAAGAGTTCTGTCTAGTAATATAATCATTGAACAATTAAGGTTATTCAACTAAAATGAAGTTCATCAAATTTAAGACTTTGTCAAATCAAAATAAATTATTTGGAAAAAAATGAAAAGTTATCAGAATTCAATAGAAACTTCTGAAGATGACAAGAAACAACAGTCGCAGAAAACCAACACCGATTTTTTTCAAACTACTCATTTACTTGTTTATCGAAGACACATGTATATGAAAAATACGAATGATAATCTATCTGAATGAACTTCATCTTCGTCAATTATTCTTAACACAAATAAAATTATTTGGATACTATCCAGAAAAACGCTCTGGTGATATTTTCGTCATCATAAGTATTCCACTTGACTTTTTGTTTTCCGAACTATAGAATAAATGACATCAGTGAAAAGTGAGTTGTACGATTACAAAATTAGTGATTAATATTCTCAACAAAAACACTCTTTTCACTTTTAATGATTAGAGAAACAGAATTCAACTTCATTTTACACTGAAAAAACAGTCTGATGAGAGACGACATATAGAAGCAATCCCTCTAATAATGACATGCAGTATACTACTCAAACACTGTTAGGATTTGTGGATCTATCGAGCGTGTGTCACAGGATGAAGACAAAAAACTACATTCAACTGTATATCGAGAATGTTTTTTCTAACAAGATAAACTAGTTTATACACCGTTAATTTCTTTCAAAAATTGTTTGTTTTTATCAAAGCAGAATGTGAAAAGAAGTGTTTCGATACGCGTAAAAAATAAATTATGATGTTTTATCCGTTTTTTACGTTCTTATCTAAATGTCATATAGTTATGACATCATAGCTGGTTTAAAACGTGAAATATTTAGATGAGATTCAAAAGGAAGACAAAAAATTATTTTCATACTGCCATAATAGAAAAGTATGAATTTTAGGGGCGAAATTAATAACTGGTGAATTAGTTTGAGTGGCAAACACTTTGTTCATGCACATTTTATTGAAGTCATTCTACTTCATTAGAAATTGCAAAAGTGAAAAATAATTTGAGAGTTAATAGATAAAAATTAGACTGGCATGATAGAAAGCAGTTTACCTGATATCGATCGTAGCTGTCTAAGATGCTGTTGAGCCGTTGACATACATTTCTCATGGAGCAGAGAATGGTGAAATCCGACTGGCGATCCAAAATTCGATAGACAAGTTCTACCGGTAACGTAATGAAGCTGGCAACAGTTTGATTTGCCATTGTACACTGCTAATACAATGCGTGCTGTGTAGACTTAAATGTTAGTTATATATATTGTTCTCTATCTTATCATTAAATGAGTGGGTATTTTTTTTTGTTTCATAGATTTCATATGATGTCGTAATTACTTTTTGGAAGAAAAAAACGAAAAAGAATGATAATAACTAAAAAAACGACGGAATCGAGATAACATCTGTAAGCAACGTTTTTTCAAGATTGTTGTATTGATATCAAATGGTACATAATAGATATGAATAGATCACAAATCGTGGTTCAAAACTATGATATTTAAACGCGTTTATTCAAATTCTTGACTGCTTGGGTAATGGTCCATTGAAAAGTATTTTAGGTTATATTGTTGAAGATATCGTTTCGTAGGATATTTTGATTGATTTAATACAAATCTAAGTAAACTATGATATTTCCTATTTGTCGGTATGACGATGAATATGGTTATTCAAATTGTGTTATCCATCCTATATTAGACTTACATAGTACACGAGCATGTTTACTCTATTGTTTTTCATACCTAGAGAATAAAAAGGTTGTTTATTAGCAATGTGAATATCGACATTTAGCTTTAGATTGTGCTTTGAATGAGATTACACTTTATTTTATCCCTAAATCATTGAAACGAAGACCTGTAGTTCAGGCGATGTATAATATCATATTACTTGTTGCAGATAGTGTTCAAACTAAAACTTCATAAATTCAGACCTAAAAACAAGGAAAAACTAATTAACATCCTTTTGCATTCCTATCTCAAATTCCTGTCAACATCTTTGACTAGATATATACTTTGTTTTCGATTTTTTATTTTTCTTAAATAGTTTCTAATTGAAAATAGAATTCTGCAATGATTATAAATGTCATGCTTAGACAAGATGAATTCACAATCAAACGAATACAACACATTAGGTGTTGCAGCTTTAAAACATAAGACGATATAGTCTCCACGATCCAATGAAACAAAAACTGTGGATTGCAAAACCGTAATGCTGGAGTGGTTACATATATTAACCAATCATAAGAATACTTAATTTCACTTGCAAAATTGATTATATCTTTAATATTTAATGATTCGTGGCATACATTTCTTTTTTATTAATAATAATGACACCTAATAAAGATAGTATTTAATAATTTACTTTATTTTAACTATACGTAATGAAGATTACAGTCGTCGATATATATGTCATTGTTCTTTTCTGTATTTAAATAGATAAAAAGAAAAATGAGTAATTCCTTTGCTGAACAATTGGCAAATGCGAAATTAAAACCAAGTAAAAATAAAACGAAGGATTTTAGTGATCCTAAACTAGCAGGTAAATTTAAAATTGATATTTCACTCATTTATATACGAACATAACATCATTTAGGTTTTATCACAAAAGATCAAATAAGTACATATCAAAAAACTGCATTAGAAGCTAATATGGAAGAATGGCAAATGTTACTGGCTGATGGTAAAAAAATAAACTTTCTTTTGATATATTCAATGATCAATTTTAGAAACATTTCCTACCATTTATGTTCCAATAACATATTCAGATGCCAAGTGCTTTATTAAAATATTCGAAAAATATTTTCAAAAATTATATGATCAACAATTATTTGATCAAATACGAGATCGAAGAGATACTTGGTTAAATGATAATGAAGATGA